CTCCCTCTGTCTCCCCTGTCTCCCCTGTCTCACCTGTCTCCCCTGTCTCCCCTGTCTCACCTGACCACACATCACTGTAAAGATAGCTTTCTGTTATTTGCCCGTTTACCGAAGTGTCCATGCACACAATTTCATGGTATGACATTCCGAGTTGAAAATAAAACTTGATACGCGGAGTTCTCTCTATTATATAAAAGCTGTGTTCATCTGAAGCCGTTACAGATCAATTTATAGTAAATTATTACAAGATAAAAATATTTCCTTTTGGGGACTTTAAGGGCTCCTTATATATATATATATATATATATATATATGTCTGATTCTGATATGTAATATACAGTTTGTAGTTTCTCAGTGTCGCAGTTGGTTTTTAATGTTTGTGTGGAGGCTGTTATAGCAACATATAAATGAACATACATGATATAGTAATATATATATATACATGTATACATTTCTTGTCTGTCTTTACATTTGGAACCGAAATCTTCAAAGAAAGTGTGTGTTGAATTCTTCCAGTCCAGCAGGGGGCAGCATCATCCCACTGATGAAGACGAAGGTGAGTTATATGAACGTGAAGGAATAATTATCAGTCCCTCATTTTATAATATTACACATTTTATTTAAAATCTCATCTCGGCAGTGTCTGACTACTCTTTCCTGTCTGTCCTCCAAATAATGGGACTATATAAAACTTATTAAATGATGACTTCATCTTTCCTTTATTTTCTAAATGTTATGACTTAATTGTCACATTTCCCTCTGTGTGTGTGTGTGTGGGTGTGTGTGGTTGTCATGAGGACTGTGTCATGTGATCAGCTGATTCTCTCAGTTTAAACTCAGAGGTTTCATCATTCAGCAGCCTGAACGCACAGAAACACGGTGAGTCTTTCTTTTCTCCTCAATCACATTCTGAGTCCCAAAAACTAAAGATGTTGTTGAATTATTGAACAACTTTAAATCTTTATTTTCATACATTTGTTCTTTAGTTGATTTTAATTGTTTCTGTTACTTTAGTCAATAATCAATGAATTCATTTGATCAATAGGAATCTATATAAAGAAAACAGGAAAGTTTTAATCTGTTTAATTTTAAAATCCAGTTCGATATTAAAGCTACATTTTTATTTTACCAGGAAGTCCCCCTGAAGTTGAATGTAATAAATATCTGAGAGGGTCGGAGTGAAACATGTTTCTGGGTGTGGTGAAAAACAGCAACAAGAAGAAACCAAAGTTTAAACGTATTTACTTTTTAAAAATACACTTTTCTTATAGTTTAAATGGAGTTTAATGAGACTTTAACCTGAGTGAAGTTTCTACATGTTTAAACTACAGATTTAATTATATTTAACAACTTTGAACACTAAAAAATAACTACATGAATTCCTAAAGAAGTGTCTGAAGACAGGTTCCCAAGAGTTCATAATCAGAATCAGAAAAACTTTAATAATCCCAGGGGGAAATTATTTAAACAGGCCTTTTTCCAGTTCTTGTAAAACTCACCCTAAGCCTCTGACCCTGCTCTTGTTTTTCAGTGGGAGGAGCTGGAGGAGACAGAGGTCTGATGGTCAGACACAGAAATGAGCTTGTTTCATATTAAAATGTAAACTGAAAAATATAAAGAACCAAGAATAGAACTCTGAGGAACTCCACTAAAGATTATTGTTACTGTGTGATCGATGCTTTGCTTCTGCTTGATGTATAACCAGGCCTTCTTTCAGTGACACAAGGATAATAATCTGACATTAGACTGAAGTTGCCTCTGGCGATTTTAGGGAAAAAGTTGTGAACTGTATCGCTTGGAGTTATATAAAAACTTTATATTTGAAATATTACGATTCTTTTATATTACATTGTTTTCTGAAAGTGTTTTCATTACAACATTACGATGATATTTTTCATTTTATCACATATTAGCATGAATATTAAAACTATAAAGAACCAAGAACAGAACCCTGAGGAACCCCACAATAACTTCAGTGAATTTTTATAATTTCAGCATCATGGAGCGAAAACTGGATTTATCCCGTCTGACGGATGAAGAGGCCAAACACGTCTGGGAGGTAATTCAACGAGACTTTAACCTCCGAAAGAAAGAAGAGGAGAGAATCGGGTATGTACTGAACATCCATCGTCCATCATCCATCATTTATCTTCCATCCATTCATCCATTCATCCATTTATCCATCATCCATCATTCATCATCCATCCATCCATCATCCATCCATCCATCCATC